CCGTGGCTGTCAGAGCGAAATGGACGTGAATCCATTCGGGGCTGAAGTTGGTTTGTCTGAGACACAGTTCTTCCGAAAATCCACATCAGGTAGAATCTCACTGGTTTGTCCAATCTCAGACCAAAGCGGCTGCTCTGCGCTCTGAGCTTAGCAGGGATCTTTCCGTCTGCTTGGCAACATAAGACACGACCATCCTTCAACGACAGACTTTTCTGGGGAACATCTTCGTGTTTGGAGATGGAAAAATGAGCTTTTTGAAACATTCTACTGCTACACAGAGTTCTCCAGGAGGCCAAACGATTCGTGTTTATACACAAGCAGGAAATCTGGGAGGGTATAGGCCAGTACTGCCCAGTGCCAGACCGGGACTCCTGAGCATCACCACCATTGCACGTGTTCATCCGCCTCCCAGCATCCCTCACCTGGACACCACGCTCTGAGCGCAGCTCCCAATGCCGGTCCCACCAGTGTGCACCAGCGCCCCCTTGTGTGAGCCCCAGAAGACCCCGCCACCCAGCCAGGCTCAACACCCTGGCTCTCTCTGCCCTCCCTACAGAGAGCTGCTACCCTGACAGCTGACTCCTGCATCCCTTGTCTGACTTCCCCACTGTCCCATGATCCTTTGCAAGCAGAGAGCACACGTCCCTTCCAATGCCACAGTGCCCGGGGCATGCTGGGTACACAGAATCCTGAATGATTTCTGCTGTGCACTCAATTTGCTCCGTGTGCATGTTTGGGGGGCTGTACTAGTCGCGTCTCACATTCTCCATCTGTTTTCCATGTGTGTTGCTACAACACTTTGAAGGATGAAGCTGTGCAGAGAATGCGGATTAAATTCAGTCTCGAACGCTGTCAAAATTATATAATTACCACCAACCACATCAGTGATAAAGTTCTAGAGTGCTCACCAAACAGACTTCTTGTTACGTTTTTCCTTTTAACTCAATCTGAAAAGGCAATGTCTATGTGTGATGCATCTAATCTACAGGATTCTGAGATGAAATACATGTTCCAGAAGGGACCCCGGGCCCTCTAAATTCTTTTTGTAGTATGTTGGCAATCACTGAGATTTTTTTTTCTAGCAAGTGCATAACAATAGTCGCAAGATACAAGCCAACTTTAAACTACAATAAAATTTTAGATTAACTTTAAAGAATGAAAATTCTCTGGGCTGGAGATGCAGCTCAGTGGTGCTGTGCCTGCCTCCCAAGCACAAGGTCCTGAGTTCAATCCCCAGTACAAAAAAAAAGAAAAAGAAAAAGAAAATGAAAATTCTCAATCAAGGCTAATGGGGCAGTGGTGGGAGGGTATTTTAGTTGTAAATAGACTTACTTCAGTAGGCCTCTGACACCAGTAACAAGGTGGGGGTCCCCTCTTCTCTGATAGCCTCCCCTCTCTATCTTACTGAGGTTGGCTCACCCTGTGGATCTTAGTTTTCTGATCCATAAAATGGGAGAGCCGATGAGACAATATTTTTGATGACTTAGGATTGCAGGACGATAAAGACTTTCTTAGAGCAGTATGTGTGACACATGGAAATGCTGGGATGATTTAGAACAGAAATGCACAGCACAGAGGGTTCGGGACTGAGAGGTCTCAGTGTCTGGGCCCACTCTTCCCTGAGTTTGGGGCAACTTTACGGAGACTTACTCCACCCCCATGTAACTCAGCTGTGTGATTTCAGTGGCTCTTTAACCTGGGGACACCAGGAGACCTTCTCAGAGCACCTGTGCTAGGCCTGGGCCCAGAATGTCTGGGGTAAGACCCGAGAATCTGCATTTCTAATCAGCCCAGGTGATGCTAATATTACACTTTGAGGACCACTGAACCAGAACACCTTGAAAATACTTCTCAGCTCTGACAATCCATGGTGAGTGGTAAGGAATTTGGTAACATGTGGGTTTTTAATGAGCCATTTCCGTCTACCAGCCCCCCAGTACACCAGGAGGGGTCTTCTCCTTCCATGGGAGTTTCAGACGCCACAAAAATGATTTCAAAGACCTGCAATTCATCTTATAATCCCCTTCCATCACAAGTCTAAATCAACATCTTCAGTAAGATTTGGGCTCCTGGAATACAAGCACTCACAGTTCAGAAACCTCAGGTAACGTGGTTGGTTGGATGCTCAGGTGTGTAGACCACAGGGAAAGCACAGCCCCATATGGAGCTCACTAGGGTAGAGTACAGTGTTAGCCTACAGAAGGCCTGGAGTTTCTCAGCAGCACAACATCAAGATTGTGAAAAAGTTCACCCCCATGCCCACCCTATAAGGTCTAAATTTAAAAAACAAATAACAAGAGATTTTTATAAAAGCAGACATCAATGTATCTCCAATTTAGTGGCACTGTGAGATTCTTGGGGAGTTCTTAAAAAATCCTGTGCTTGGGTCCCATCACTAAAATCTTTGATTCAGCCTGGGCACTGAGGCTTCTGATAGCTCCCCAGAAGAAGTGATGCAAAGCACAGTCTGAGAGTCACCATCTGTAAAGGAACAGGATCTATTTTTTACAATGTTCGGTCCCATGAACCATTTTTGTCATTCCAAAGAGCATGACCACTTGTCTTCAAGTACCCTCAAGAAAAAACACTAAAAGTTGTACAAACCCACACATGGTCATAAACAGATTAGGAAATCAATATTTCTGAGTGACACTAATGCAGTTTCATGAAATTAAATAAAAAATATGTGTGTGTGTCTCAAGATGTCACCCAGAGTACACATACAGTTTCCACTGCAGAAAGCAGGAAAGGTTTGCTAGAGGAGAACTTTTGTCATCTAAATTATATGCACCTGAACATCCTAAAATATTTCAAACTTTCTGGGCACAGTGGTACATGCCTATAACCCCAGCTCCTCAAGAGGCTGAGGCCAAAGTATCTTATCACAAGCTTGGGGCTGGCCTGGGTGACTTTAGCAAAACCCTGTCTCAAATAAAGGAACAAAAAAGGCTGAGCGTGAAGCTCAGTGGTACAGCACTTGCTTAGCATATGCAAGACACTGGGTTGTACCCCCAGAAGAAAGAAAAAGAAAAAGAGAAGGGGGAAGGGGAAAAAAGAAAAGAGGCAAAAAAAAAAAAAAAGAGGAAAAGAAGGAAGGAAGAGAGGGAGGAAGGAGGAAAAATTCTTTCAAACTCTCAAGTGCCTGGCTGGCTCAGGGCCAGGCAAATTAGAGGCACTGGACATGTACTTATTCAACTGACTCTAATTTATGACTGTCTCTAAGCATACGGGAATTCAGATCTTAACAGAATATGTTGTTGCATCATGAAGTGCAAGATGTATGTTTCTCTGTGTGCATGGAACGTGGACTGTTCGAGTCCTTTAAATTCTTTAGACTAAATGAGAAACTTTAAAGCTGGGAACTTATAACTAAACCATGTAAGTATTTATTGAGAAAGTATCCATTTCCCAAAGTGCATGGTCTTAAGACACATACGTTTCTGATGACAGCCAGTAAAACCCAGGTGTCCCCCTCAAAGCAGAGAATGTCACACGTAGATTACTGCTGGCCCTTTCTTTGTCTTATAAAGCTGTGATCACATGAAAACTACTGCAGAGGAGAGATGAAAGACAGAGTCAGAGGCTCTGGCCCATCTCCGTTACATTTGCCCGTGCCATTCTGGATATTTTGTCAGAACACTGTAAACTAAACTGGTTAGGACCCAGGAAGACTAAGAACTGCGCTGGCCAAAGCCAGCATGGCTAAAACATAAAGGCTGATTTTTTTCGCTTGAAAATGCTCTCCGGCACTTTCCTGCCGCCCCATGCATTGCTAATTAGGAGCAGCCAAGGTTGGACATGTACACAGTCCTCTGTGGTAAAATTGATTATTATATTATTACGGAAAAAGGAGAAGTCATTTTGTTCAAAATATCAAATTCCACAAAACCGTACATGGCAGCTGTTAGTGTATGCCTGGGGGAGGGGCCAGTGTGTGAAAATACCAACTTTCCCCCTCAGTCTTCTGACATCTTTGCAAAGATGTGGGGAGGAGGGAAGGAAAGGAAAGAAACGAAAAGATTCTGATACATATTAGGCACAAGCCCATAGCAAGGCTACGACCCGTACTTATTTCAAGGCTAAACAGATCTCCACGATAGAAGATACACCATGCACATCATTTTTATGAGTAGGGACTCGCTTCTTTTGCCGCTTGCACGCAGAAAACCAGTACCCCTCCTCTCCTGTGCATATCAAAGCTACTTTAAATTGCATCAGATAAAAAAACGAGGTGAGTCATGTCTGGGGGCGCTTGAGTTTGCTAACAGAGAAGTTACAACCGACTCCAAATATGTCCGCCAGCCGCAGTACCGAAGTTCAGACGCTTGTTTGTTTGGAGACTTCAAATCGTTTTGTTTAAACATCCTGACTTTCCCCACAGATACCTCGGAGTGGTTGACGTTTATGTTACAGCCGCCCTCCAAGGAGCTCGGAGGAGATTCTGGGGTGCCACCCCTGATGAATTAGCCTGCGCTCAGGAATCTGACCACAGCCCCCCTCCCGGCTCACAGTGAGCTCGATTCCTCAGTCAGCTGACGGGACAACTCCGAACACCTCGACATTCATTTCCTACCCATGACAAACGGAACGATTAACACAGAGGGCCCACATGGTCCACAAGGTTTCGGATTCTAGATGCGTCCCGTCCACTCCCTCAGATCTGGCGATGAGCCCATCTGTCCCCCAGTTGCTGTGCGGCTTTCCTATACGAAGGAATTTAGTAGCCGGTGTAGAAAGAGCATCCAACTTAACGACACTGGGCTCGCTGATCTCACTGGGGACATGAGGTGCTGTTTGAGGTCACCTGTTAAGCAGCCTTTGTGAATCATTTACTAAAATTCTTTTAAATGGGTAGGCGTGGAGATACAGACGGACGGCATACTCATGCATGAACATTTAGCACCAAGAACACAGAAGTGACTCCCGGGTGGAAAATTAAAAGAAACCCCGGCTTTCCTCCTCGGGCTGGGGAAAGGTAGGGTGGCGTCATGCAACCTTACCTTTCTGAAACAGACCCGGGCGCCTGGCAAGAAGCACTGACCTTCGGCCACCGGAGCCGGGAGTCATTTTGGGTGTCGTGCATGTGCCTCCCCGGAAAATTCCAACAACATTCTACCAGCTTTCCGCATGCCAACCATGCCAAGCCTCCACTGAAGCTCTCCCGAGTCTGGGAAGGGGCGGGGTGGGGGTAAGGGAGACAGAGAGACAGACAGACAGGGAGAGAGAGAGAGAGAGGAAGAGGGACAGGGACAGGGAGAGAGACAGGGACAGAGGGAGAGGGAGAGAGGTGTCCCAGGCACTGCGTACCAGTCTGGACGAGGAGTCACATGCCCCGGGAGCCATTCCTGCTGCATTACACATGCTGAGTGTAAATGGCAAACAATATCAGTCTATGTTTATGCCACATCTTCTCAGCCTCTTTGAGTACCAGCACCCAAACCAGCTCCACGCAGAGAGCTCTCTGGACAAATGCTTGGAAGGAGGGAGTCTTAGGCTAAGCATTCCAGCCATTTTTCAGAAAATCCCAAAACTCCTGGCTTGGTTCACCTCTTTTGTTTTGCTGTTTTCAGTACCGGCAAGTTTATTTTTAGTTTGCTTGCTTGTTAGCCTGGGTTTCACAGGTGACAATTTGGCCCTGGAGGTACCCACATGAACCTTTGGCGATGCCCTGAGAAACTGACTCCCAACCAGCATAGCTCCTGCACCTGCGTGCCCCCTCTTTTACTTTATTTCTGTGGGACAGATGGAATGAGAAGACCTCAGCTTCACCGGCTCAGTGGTAACTCAGTGCCTTTCAGTAGGAAAACTGGATTTTCCTTTGCTTTAATGGTGGCTGTGTGTACTGGGGCGGGGTGGTTGCTACTGCCCCTGGGGAATGCCAAGAACAGTCTGTCAGACCTGGGGGGAGGGTGCAAATGACACTTACTGGGCAGCAAAGGGGGGTTTCCATAATATTTATAGTGTCGCAGTTAAGAAACGGCTTTGCACCTAAGGCTTTCAACCAATTAGGTGGAAAATACAATACAAAAGGGCGAGGGGAGAGGAGGGGAGGGGAGAGAAGAGAAAGGGAGAAGAAAATAAAAGAGCACCAAGAAGTCCCTCCCTGAGAAGAAGTGGGCCTTTGTCATGGTTTACATGCAAACCTTTCCGCCATTCTCTTGTCAAGTCTTTAAAAACTTTTCTTTTGCCAAATATCACACTTAAACCATCAAGTCAAATCGAACTTCAGTGTGATGCTCTAACCCCAAATCCGCTGTCACAGACACCTCGCCACCAGGTTATGTAAAGCAAACATCCATGCATCTTGGCCGGGCTGGGACAGCCTGATGTTCTTCTATGATGCTCTGTGTTCTCTATAATCCTCTCCCCAAAATGCTTCAACAGAGTATGCTTTTTGAAAGGCGAAGCTCGCAGAGAGCTTATGCAGGACTTAGCAATGAAAGCTTACCCCGTTCTCCTACTTAGACCCCTGGAGGGCAGGGTTGTGCGGGCAGATTATTCCCCACCTCGCCACCCACAGGTGCCCCAGCCTCCAGGAGGTACCCCCCCCCCAGCTGGGCTACTCTCAAACTTGGCCTGTGACAGTTCTGAGGCCCATCAAAAAGCCAGAGTGAAATCTGGTCAGATGCATTCGAACAGCCTGTTTCCAGCTGCCCACCAGAGGCCCTGCCATTGCCACCCTGCCCACGAGCTCCACGAGCGCCCAAGGGCTCCTCTTCCTAATTTAGCAACAGCCCACAGGCCGCCCCAGGCTCAGCTGGCTGTCGGCTGCTGACTCAGTCCCAGACACCTAAAGGCGTCAGTCCCAGATCCTGACCTGAAGGAACAAGCCAACCTGGCCACAGGCCATTCTGCTCAGGCCTTGGGTCCCTTCCCATCTACTAGCAGTGACTGGCCCTTTCTCCCTTCTGCAGCCTCTGCTTCCTTCTTTGTACCCAAGACTTTATTAGGATAGTTTACGGAAAAGTGCCTCACCACACCCATCTCTCAAATTCCCCTGGAAGGCTCTGCTCCCACCTGCCCACATGGGAGGTCAGCGGTGTCAAAAACAAAAGTCCTGAAGGGCCGAGGGTATTACTCAGTGGTAGATCACTTCCCTCGAATGCACAAGGCTCTGGGTTCAATCCCCAGTACTAGAAAAACAAGCACAAAACAGGTAAAGGGAAGGGGGATAAGAACCAGGCCCACCTCTAGGGCCATGGCAGAAGGTGTCAGTCCAACACAGCCTTGTACCTGATACGGTCAGCCACACTGTGAGCATCTGCTGCTGTGAGCTTGAGAACAAGACACACTGTGTGTGACCCTGAGAATCAAACTGAAAGGGGCTCCAAGGTGGCCTTAGAGTATCATTCCTATGGAGAAAAGTCCAGACCTAGAGCGAACGCTTCTAGTTATGTGGTCCTGGCTGTTACCCAGAGTCGAAGACACAACCTTAGGTCCTAGCGGGAAATGAAGGAGCACAAACTGGACATCACAGATTGAAATTCAGTTTAATGGAGGAAGAAGGTGTTGAGTACCTACTGCACACCAGCACTGTGTGATGGGGGGTGTGAGAGGCACCTCTGAGCGTGGATTTGTCAGACATTACACTATCTGCTGCCCTCATTCTCCTGACCTTCACATGTTCTAAGAAATTAAGGTCATTACCTCTACTTTACAGATGAGAATACTGAAGCTCTCAATAACCGAGTACTTTACCTAAAGAGCCAAAGCTCTTATGTGGTCACTTTGAAATGAGGTTTGTTTGATGCCCCAAAACTTTGCCTTTCCATTAAAACACCTCTCAGCATGGAAGATGGGTCATAAATGTAGATGATACACTTACAGGAAAATAAATAACTGGCGCAGGTAGGCTGCGTTCAAAGTATGAGTGCAGGTCCAGCTACTTGCAAGACCCAGTGCAAAGTAACAATGTAGGACACTTGTTGAAAACCTAGCAAGAATTTCAAAATGGCGGCAGTGGAGCCTTAAACCAATCAAGCATAGGGGCCTACTAAACAGGGATCCTTATGTAAGTGAATCCAGTCCTAGGTGAGAGAGAAGAACTTGGGAAGTGAGTGATCATATGTCCCATCTGCCCTGACAGCAGGAGGAGAGAGACAGAGAGAGAGAGAGAGAGAGAGAGAGAGAAACACCACCATATCCCTGAGGCCTTTTGCTGGATATGCAAGCCTTGCCCTATTTTCTTCGGACAATTCTTTCTCCTGCTCTAGAGCTAATACTAGGGCAAAAAGTAATACCTGCGGTGTCTGAAGGAGGCAAGTCTAGCCCAAAGGAATGCTGCTATTTTTTATGATGCTGTAATGGATCTCTTCAGCCGCCACAAGGAAAGGAATAATTTGGCTTTCATCCCGGAGACCTATCCTGTAGTAAGGAGTTAATGATCCTCAATGGAAGGTGGAGACAGCAACTGGCCATGGTGTCCAGTGCATGAGTGGAGGGACAAAGGCAGAGAACAGGTGAGGGTGATGGGTGATCACCTGTGAGATACGCCCTGGGCCTAACTTCATCCCCTGCTCACCCTGTGACCTCCAGCTAGCCAGATGCTGAACCCTTATGGCTGGAGAAGTCCAAGTGCTAGGGCCACGGGAACCAAAGAGCTGCCATGGGGATGCTTAGAAGTGATGTTTATGACTCTCTAACAATTTCGTGTTAAATTAAAAACCAATACACAAAACCATATATACATAATATATACATTATATATATATATATTATATA